TTATTTTTTAAGCTAGGCCTAAGAGATTAACTTAAACTAAGACTAGCTAGTTAAGCCATGCAGAAAAGAAAGTTAGTTTTACTTAATTTGAGCTCCTTTTTTACATCTTAAAGATGCATTGCTTAATCTTATCATTTTTAGATTAAACATACTAGTTTGACATCATTTTTGTTTATATTTATATGTTTTTATCTAAATTTTTGATTTAAGTTTATAATTGAATTGTATTGTCCATTTCACAGAAAATTAAACATAAACTACAAACAATGTTTAGCAGATCAAAAATCGTATATTAATCTAAAGCGCAAATCTGTTCCTTCTAAGAATCGATTAATTTTTGATCAATGTATGGCATTTGAGGAGTAAACTATGCTCAAATGTGATTGTTTAACTTATGCATAAGAAGTTTACCTAAACGATGCAGGAGAGAAAAGTACTTCAATCCAGTTCATCTTATTGTATCTTAAAGATACACGCTATTGTTTTTTCTATAATGATAAGCAATATTTGAGACTCTGTGTAATGTGGGTAGCAACAATAGTTTCCACTTGAACAGTGGCTGCCACATAACGGTTATTTGCCACCTAAAGTGCTGTTTCATTCTTTTTTACGATTACATTCCGGGTGTAAATGTGGCTCTCGCATATGTCTGTGATTGTGGTAATTGTCATGTAATAAAAGTCAGAGTGAGACGGGGAGCGAGATAGTGATAGAGAGAGTCTTACTTGACATGTGATGAGACAATAAGCCAACGCCACTTTAGCACTTGAAGTGAACTTTTTCACCCCAGGAATGGGGTGCATAACCCCACTCGAATAAAAACTGAGTCAGCTTTATCTAACTTTACTATAACAGTAGACAAAAAAATGCCAAGTTCTGTTTTTTTAGATTTGAGTGTAACGAGTTTGGGTGGTGTGTGTGTAATTATTTGGACCTAGTGTCATGTTTTTAACCCACTCGTAAATTATAGAGATCCTTATAGCTAATATGTAATTTATGGCCGGCCTGACAAAAAGCAAAAGGAACCCAACAAAAACACACGTTAAACAAATGCGGCGGATTTTGGCGTACATTAGCCGCAGGCGGTGACCACAAAAAGCCAGAGACTTATTTTTGTGGTCACCATTTGGACACACACACAACTTTACACCTATGCTGACCTCTGGCCAAAGCAAAACCCACATCACTGACCAGCAAAACCCTTTTTTTTACAATCTAATTACTGTAGCCGCAGGGAGGGAGCAGTAGATTTTGGTTCACCTTAAAGTCGCACTTTAAATAATCCATTAGCGATTACAGAATTTGACTAGAACAGAAAGACAGAGTGTGGTGCTGTGGGGTTTTTTTTTGTATAATAAAAGGGCTTAAAAGCTAAAACCTGTTGAGTCGTTTGCTCAATTCCCCAAACACTTGCCACAACTAAAGCCAAGCCACCCACACCCAAACCCTTTTTCGCAAGGCATCTTGGCGACATCCACTTGGATATTATGGGCTGCTTTGAATAACAATCGATGGCGCGACAATGCCATTGAACATGATGATGGAGATGGCAAATGCAAATGGAAGTGGCTGCTCCCGTTCCAGCTCCTGCTGCTGCTGCTCTATATATCCTTTTTGTCTTGACATTTTACGACTGTCTGGATGCAGTTGCTTTGGTTACTTAACTTGCGGTTTTGTGTGACGCCAAACTTTTACATTTTTGGCCAAGTGATTTTTTTGTATTTTTTTTTGACAATAAATGGTTTTTGGCATCGATGCAAAGATAAAGTGAATTTAATATATAAAAAAATAGTTCAATCATCTATTTTCTTTAACTCAACTCAAATTAAACATGCTTCTAAAGTTAAAGCCATCTTCCATCAGTTCCACCTAATTAAGTGTGATTAATGAAGTTATTTAATCGCCAGCAACTGTCATCGGGTTCAGATTGGGTCATTTTAAATTCATTAATCTAATTTGAATGCATATTAAATGAATACAGACGCCAAACAAAAAACTTTACGCACAAAAAAATCGAAGTAACAAAAAACTATGTGGTTTTTTAATCAATTTAAGAAAAACAAATAAAAACTCTCGTTTGACTATATAATACCCTATATAAAAACATATAATGGGGTTAAGGGACTCCAATCGAAAAAGGATACACACAAATCTTAAAGGCCAAATTTTAAATAAAAGCGCAAATAGAAATTGAATTGGATATTGAGCAGAAGAAAGTCATTTATTATAATTTACTCTTACAATGCATATAATATTTCTGTCATTAGGTTTGTAACGCAGTGAAGGAAACACCGCCGAATCCTCCATTGATCATCATCACCGACTTTCTGACGATTAACTATTTCCTCAGTTTTAAAGCTAGATAGATATTCGAATTTTTCCAAATTTTTGCAATACATATGTATATCTGACCCGCTCACTATAATATGTAACAATATAATATATATGTAAACAGTCGAAAGATAAGTAGAATTCTCTTATCCAAATAATACAAAAGATATACTTTAAAGATAAAATGTGTTAATACTTTTGATAGCTAAGTTCAAGTAATATAAGAAAAGATTTCAATTTAATGGTGATACTATATCTATGCTTTATAATTAAGTATTTTTTTATAAATTGGCAAATTAAATTGCTGCTCTAAAATAAATGTTCAAAGTATATCATTTACTGGTAGCACATTCCAACAAATTAGATACAAAATTAAAGTGCAAATATCACTCGTTTAAAACTGATTATTAAGTTTTAAAATATTTAGTAAATCGCTGCTGACAGCTTTATGATCATAACAATTATAAATTATTATCCGAGTCTAAATGGTTATTATTTTTATTACTCATTAAACGCGCTTAAGATAATCTCTAACCATTAAGCAAATCTACAATTTTTGCGGCGAGGAAAACGATTTACCTTCATTTACTTTGTTGCAAATAATGAACAATAACAAACGAATATGAAAACAATTGAATTATGGGGAAGTCTTTTTTTTTATTTTATTTATATACTTATTTATATATATTTATTTAACACGCGCTGAGGGGCAACAAGCTTAAATTCGCAGTTGATTTCGCCAATGATCATAAATAATTCCATTACAATAATTAGTAATGCATACTTAATGATGCTTGAAAACAAATAATTGTCTAAGTATCTACAAAAAAAATTCAACGAAAACAACAACAACGAGAAAGAATTTATATCTTTGGCATGCCGAAGATTGCATACTCTTACAGAACGATGTCAAAGGTCGTCTAAATATCGCTTAAGTTTTTAGAATAACTTGATACACCAAAAAGTTTATCTTACAAGAACTCATCTTTCAACTGATAGTTCCCATGGTAGCTATTTGATACAGTTAGCAAAAAGAGAGATAAGTACCAAAATTCATTAGCTTCACTAGTTCACATAGAAACAGATCGAATCAGCTACTAATGCTGATCAATATATATAAATTTATAAATATATATATTATATATATATATATACACTTTCTGGAGTCATAGGTGTCACCTTCATTGAGTTGCAAACTTCACACTAACATTATAATGCTCTCTGTCAGACTATAATAACGAGGCGTCGCGAGGCTACAGAAACCAAGTTATTGCTGTGCTGCTGCGAGGGGGACACATTTGATATGGAGGGATGGGGGGAGAGTCTATTAAGCAGCTTAGAGTTTGCCGGCAATGGAATCTCCAACTGACTGAGGTCGCTGCCGCTACGAAACAAACAAATTAATCAATGAGGTAATCAAAATTTATTCAACAATTTGATCAACTATGTATATGCAAAATGTTTGTTGTAGTCTTAGCTGTTTTTATTGCTTTTGTTGTTCTTGTTGTTGGTGAAGATGTCGATGGCTTCTCTTCGTTTTGCACTGTGACCCACTGTGCGGTCGATCGTTGGCTTTGGGGATGACAAATGACACAAAAATACAAATACGTAGATAGTAGAAATATGCTGGCAATATGACGAAGCTTGGATACCGTTTTATTTATTTATGGATCTATATTTGAATAAGTATATTAAACAATAATGTACATAGGAAGTTGAACACTGTCTGCAAAGGTATACTAACCAAAATATAGATTTTTTCGAACAAATTCACAGATAGAAACAAATATATTGATTACTTTTAATATAATTTGAAAAATATACCCATTTAAGTTATTTATATTACTCCAAAATATTTATATACACCGAAAAAGTGAGTTTATATTGAATTTCAAAAATGACAGACCAGACAACATTTTATCATTTTTTTATTTCCTTACTCATTTTTCTTCTTTTCTTTTTAAAAATCATTTAAAGGTACTTCCCCGACAATTAATTGATATATATATAGTAACAGGGTTGTGTAAACTATACCTTCATTTGCTGTCAGTAAAGTATTATTGTTAAAAAAAATAAATAAATAAAAATTATTTTTGGCTAAAGCAATAATTTATACCCATCTAATGTGATTTTGCTTGAATAATCAGACTTAATCTATATACTATATATCAAGAATGTGAATCCTAATTATACTACAATTTCAGCTTAATTAAAAATTCATTTATCACAACACAAAAGCCAAAACAATTGTAATTTAAGCACAGTGGTTCAATATCACATAAATGGGAAAGAAGGAAGCAAAGTACTCGCTGAACAAATAAGATCTAAGAGTTCAAGCCAATTATCGCTTTGCGTCGCCAATTTAATGACCAAATTATTATACTTCTCTGTCTGGTTGAACAGGTGAATGCAAAAAAAAATCTCAGAACAAAAAAATGATATAAAAAACTAACAATTTCTCGGCGCTACATAAATTTTTGGCTCATAATTTGCGCTGGCGCAAATCTGGTAGAACAATCTGTCGCGAACAACAAAAGGCCACATATATTATGAGCATATGTATATCAGCGGTACGGGAAGAGAGTGAGGCAAAGTGCTGGGGGCAGGGCAGGGAAAGAACGTTAGACAGCTGAAAAGCTTACAGCGCCGATTCAAGCTGTGATCTGAGCTCAGTCGTCAAACGGCAGCATTTAACTAAAGTCGCAAAACTCGGAGTGGAAGCTGAGATCTCAACTGGAAACTGAAACAGAAGCAAAGGCAAAAAACCGGAACCCGGAGCCAGTAGCCAGTAGCTGGTTATTGACGTAGTACATATTCTATAATTGTGATTTACAAGATGTTTGCCTCACGACGACATTTGGTAAATTTTTTGATTGATATTCCTTTTTATTTTTTGCGGGACTATGGTTTTTTTGGTGAGTGTTCAAAGTTGGGGAATATATAAATATTATATTCCAGTTGCTGCTCCTCTTAACGTGGATCAGTCTGATGTCCATCGGGTGCCTGGCTGGCAAGCCCGAGGACAAGCCCGAGGAGACCATCAAGGAGGATGTCATTGAAATTGAGAATAAGACGCAAAAGGTCATTCGGGTCAGTCCGCATGAGTTGCCCTTGAAGCAGGATCGCACCGGTAACCACATGAATTCGGAACTTTTCCAAATCCAAACACTGCGTCCGGGCTCCCATGGGAAACGACAGCGTCAATATGTGGACTCGAAACGTATGCGTCCGGCAAGGATCCCGAGTAGTGGTGAAGCAACGCCGACCGTTTTGAAATACACGCCCGAACTAAAAGCATTTCCCAAGCAGAAGCTGAAAAGAAAGCAGCAGAAGCAGCTCCAATTCCCCATCGAGTCTAGTGGCAGTCTTATGGGCTCCAACCTGCCCGTCCAGATGACACCCGGAGTCTATCCCATCTACTATGTGGTGTCCAAGACGAACGGTCGCTTTGGCAAGTTTCCCATCAAATCCTTCGGCTCGCCCGCCGAGTTCGCCAAGTATCTGATCAAGAGCAAAGCAGAGCCCATTCCACGAGCGCAACGCTTCGATGTCAAGGGTCAGGAGGGATCGCTGGTAGTTAGACATTAGTTGGTAGTCGGTAGCTTTACTGCTTGTTTTTGTGATTCTGCACGCGCGCTTTGTTAACAATAAATTATTATTCACATGAAATTATTATATTTAATTGCTAATTAGCAAAATATCTACGATTAATTACTTTCATCTTACTATGTACTTGCATTCGGAATAAAATATGCCATAGAATTAAAGAATTTTTCATAAAATTGTGTTTGCTTTGAGATGCAGAAATAAATTTCGGATTTTTAGAAATGTCTTCTATTTTTAAGAAAGTAGAAATGTTGAAAAATCCCCTACAGAACAAAATATTATTTATTTTTAAGAAAGTAAAAAGGCTGGCAAATTCCAGACATATTTTACTTACTTATCAATCTTTAAATAATTTTTAAAAATTATATATACAATTATTATAATATAATGCACGAATTTTTGATAAAATCCCCTCATAATTTAGAAATGTCTGACCTTGTTTTTAGAATGATAAACTAGATGTTTGTATAATCTGAGCCCATTAAAAATGGCAGCAAGCATTTTCTAACTTAGTCTTAAGTTCAGGGTATTTCTTAGCCCAGCTCAGCTTTGACTTCAACATTCTTACCTTTTTCACATAAGCAATAATTCTAAAGTACCCAACCCATGTACTCATGTGCTTGCCAAATATTAAACTGAAACTGCTTCATATCGCCAACAGTCTCGAGTGATCTGAACTGAGCAGTGCTTTAAACAGATCTTGGTGGCCTTCATTCAAAGTGGCAAACTGTTGACAGCCAGCCAGCCAGTCAGCCAGCCAGTAAGAAAAGAAAAATCCGTTTATAGCCGCCAGCTGACTGAGGTTGAGGCTGAGACTGAGTCATCATACCAAAACTGTTAATTGTTGACGATTCTTCATTTCATGTCGTAATTACATAGAATTCGATTGCTGTTGTTGTTGTTTTGTTTTTGTCATATGCAAATTTGGCATCAGATCGAATAATTAAATGCTAGTTTCGAGTATATGCATAAGTATGTTCACAATTTACATACTTATGACTATGTAGCCATAGACAACAATAGATACAATTTGATTTATTGTCAGCCTCTTCTGCGTTCTATCTTCAAATTCTTTTTGCTGTTCTGCATCGCAAATTAATGATCTGCTTTCTTAAATATTACAAAGCCGTTTCGATTCTTTGCAGTTTGGCTTTTTGTTTCAGTTCACGAAACTTTCTCCAAAATGCTTGGAATTAGAACCTCTTAACACAGCAGATCATTATACTTAAGCTTTTTTTTGAACGTGAAATTTGTGTTTCTAGATTTTATCTATTGTGAATGGTGCGTAAGCACAGAGAATAGAAGTCGTTGTAAAAGTTCGGCTTTAAAGAAAATACAAAATTATATTGTATAATCCATTGAAGGGTTTCTATTATAGTTTTATCTATAGAACATCTTGGCAAATACTAAGAAACAAAAGAAGTTATATGCATATATATGGATATATATACTATTCTTTTCCATTGGGCGTTGGGATGACATTTTAAAATATTATCAGCAAGAACAGTTGTAAGAAAGTAGAAGAGTTGGTTTAGTCTGGATGAAATCTTTTGAGTCTTCTTCTAGCAAGCGAATTAATGTAAGCAAATAATTTCTAAGAAATGAGTTGGAGTTTTTATATATACATATATCAAGATGTTTGCTGGAGATTGAATTGAGACTTACAGCGTCTAATTAAGCATCATGTGATTCCATGGAACTAGCATGTCACATGAAGAGATGTTGCATAGTTTAGTGTACACTATATAAATATAATAATTTATTCAGAAAACGGCGACTATATATTTGAAATCTAACTGCTTATATGAGAACTTGTCTCTCAGTTTTAAGCTATCGATATCGATCGATATCAATTGAAGAAGAAGTTAATCGTTGTGAATGAAGTAAACTACGCAGACGTGTTTGAGAAAGACAAATATATAAGTTTTGACTACTACAATATTTTTTTTTTTCATAACAACTAATGCTCATCAATCCAATGACATATATTGTAAATGTCTCGGCAACATTGAGAGTAACTATTGTGGGTGGATTACCTGTCAAAGAGCAAATAATTTGTTTTAATTGGAAATCACACGTGCAATTTTATCGACACACTTTCAGCCACGTCAATTATTAACTGCTGCAGCAAATCACAAACCCCAACCTTCAAGAAAATGATGCTCTCGTAATAATTATGATTTTAGTGGTTGGGGCAACCGCATGGAGAAGTGGTGCGATGCAGGGAAGGGGTGTGTTGTGCTTTGTCTCTGTCTGGCTGACTGGTTGCCTGTGGTTAATCATTTCTTTGGCCCTTTTTGCTCGTCCTTCGCCCATCGCATTGCTCATTACTTTTGCTCATTTCGACATTTCATTTCATTTTATATATATTTGCGAGTGTTGGTGTGTAACCTCCAATGTGTAATGAACTCTGGCAGCAGGAATTGCTTGTGTGAAAGCATACACACACAGCCACACACACATGAGGAAGGCATGACGAACAAAGTGTGATATCGAAATTTCCCAAAGGATTCGACGCCATATTTTAGTCACGAAAAAAGATTCGCGTGCTGGAAAGTTGAACAGCATAAACTTGGCAGCAAGTGCGTGAAGAGGAGTCAAGAAATATCCGTTGCTCCTTGCATCCTTCCATGCTTATAATCAAGCGTAAAAATGCGAAATTAATCAACTTCAGCCTGCGACTGCGTCTCAAGTTAACAACGCAGAAAAAATTGAATTAAAACTTTTGCAGCGACAGCCAACTCGGGCAATCGTTCTCGTCCTCATCCACGTCCTGTCCAAGGATCTGCTGCACCCTTTCTGTGAAGAAATTCAGCTTGGGGTTTACTTTGGACGCGAACGCGAACGCTGGTTATTCAATTATGTATTTGCGCTTGTCCTGCAGTAAAAATTACAATCTACACGACAAGTCAACAAAATTATGAACACTCCTGGGCAGTAAAAAGTAAATAAAATTCACTAGCCACCAACAAAACAAAAAAAAAACCAAGTGAAAATTTTACTGTCAGTCGTAGCCGACTGCTTAATACTCTGTTACCAATCTGCCAGTTGAATAATAATAAGTACACCCTCAAATTTGATTGATTTAAGCAAATAAACTTACAAGCAATCCATCTTTAAAACTCCGTAAGATTGCTAAAGATATGATATGGATATGGCTTAAAAAGTTGTCCAAAAAGTAGTTGTCAAAAATGCCTTTAGAGCCAGGTCAAAACTACCCAGAGCCATAACTTATTCAAAAGTGACCCGATATTCATAAAGCAGATATTTTTGATTACGGTTTGACCTCTAGTTTAATTCTACATTGAAAGTTAGAAACGCAATTCTTGCTCGAAATTCATCTTAAAATTTTACCTCAAATAGTGCCTTCAGGGTCAAAACCTCCCAAAAACGTAATTGTCGAAAATCAGGGGTTTTCTATCATGGCTTGATCCCCAGACTTATACTACATTTAAAGTTGAAAACGCAATTCTGTCTCGAAGCACATGTATCTATTTATATATATCATATCATATCTTTGCCTTCAAAGTTGGAAAGGAAATTGCGAACACCAACATACTCTTCTAACTTTGATATTAAGAGTATAAAACACAGAAGAAATAAAGGAAACTTTGCTGTGTGCGACGCATCGCGGCTATATTTTGTTCGCCCTCAATTCTTTTTTTTTTTTGGGTGTATTTCTTGTGCTCCAGCATTGCGGTAATTGCAACTCTCGCCGTCCTGTGGGAAATGTGAAACAATAAATGAAAATAAATGAATTTTTGTTAGCCGAATGGCCACCTGGCCACAACTTCAACTGCAGCCAGCTCACCACAAAATAAAAATCCTAAGCTCGAGGCCAAAAACCTCGGTCAAAGCAGCTTGAAAATCAACCGAAAAAAATTGCATTTATTAAAACATAATCCAGTCAAATTTGATTTAATGGAAGATTGTCCAGTTAGCCATTGGTTGATGCTCTCCTTAACTAAGTACGTAATTTGTAAGACATTTTGGAATTAAATGTCAAATAAGTAAAATGCGAATGGGAAATGAATGTGCAGAATGTGGCATCCACCCTTTACCAAATATCTATTTATTTGCCTAGCCGTCTTTAAATCGAAAAAACAAACTGACAAACAAACCGAAATACGACCAGCAAAATGGGCACTGAGACAATTTCCAGCGAGTCGAAAGCCATTTTATCAAAAATTAATGTGTAGTTTGAACATTTTTGCGACATTATGCGAGCGTCAGACGGGTTAAAAGGCGACTTCGACTGCAAAATGATGCAAAGGGGTGTCTCGGACGGCACAGTGGAGCAAGACTAAGTAAACAACCATAACATATATTGATATATTTTATACTTCATCTAACTTAGACTGATTGAAATTAAATATGCTGGCAGACATATTAAATAAATTAATTGGAAAGAAACTTTAAAATTGATATATACATATTTTACGGGACAAAAAATATTGAATGAACTTAATGATTAAACAAAAATAGTCTGTTATTTGTTAATTTATTTTTTTTAGTCAATGAATGTATTTATTTTATTAATTGTTATTATTATTATTAATTATATGTCTTTATTTATATAATATTTTTTTAATTTTTATCACGTTCACTCCACTGTAAGCCAAAGGAACAGCAAGCCGTAGGCAGAGCGCAAAGAAAAAACTTAAAGCCGTAAAAATGTAGCCCTCATGTGCTGGAGACACCGTTACTGACAGCTCCGTCGCTCGGTGGCCGCAGAAAGTTTTGTGTGACGTTCTCCGTAAAAAGGTGGACTCCGGACAGGAGTCACAGCCGGACGACGGCTGCTTAAATATTAATGCCCCCAAGAGTCAGGCAGCAAGCCATGAATAAATTTTTGGCTATGAATTTTCAATAGCCAAATGCCGCCGCTTCCCAATTCAAAACTTATTTGCTGTAATTTCGTCACGGCTTTAAACTAACCAAGACGAAGAAGAAGAAGAAGTTGACTGTTTTTGGCTTGTATTAGGTGTCAACCACAAAAGCCACAAAGCTGAAAGCCAAAAATGGTGCTACGACCATTCGAATGCACTTTTAGCCAAATTAAT